GCGCCACAGCACAGGCCCCGCCCTGGTCTTAATGATAAACTTAAGACTAAACTCTGGAGAAGGCAAGGCTGCCAGAGAGGACAGTTTTCATTAACAATTAGCCATACACATTCAGTAGGTTAATACCTCCTCTAAGTAGGCAAGAATTAGCTCTTGGGGCCAGCGCTGTGGCACAACCGGTTAACGCCCTGGCCTGAAGTGCCGGCATCCCCTATGGGTGCCGGTTTGAGACCCAGCTGCTCCACTTCCAATCCAGCTCTCTGCTATGGCCTGGGAAAGCAGTAGAAGATGGCCCAAGTCTTTGGGCCCTGTACCCACGTGGGAGACCCAGAAGAAGTTCTTGGCTCCTGGATTTGGATCAGCCAACTCCAGCCATTGAGGTCAATTGAGGCATGAACTATCGGATCAAAGACCTCTCTCTCTCTGCCTCTCCTCTCTCTGTGTAACTCTGACTTTCAAATAAATAAATAAATCTTTAAAAAAAATAAAAAAGAATTAGCTCTTAAGAACAAAAAAATCTTACAGTTCATATATTCAGGAAGCACAGACACATTTACAGTATGTAAGTGTGTGTATATATATATGTAAAACAGTGTAACTATGAAATGAAAATTTAATGGGTGAATTAGGGGAAAAAATGGCTCTTTATAGAGGTGATAATGAAAAATAAAAGACTGAGGCCAGCGCCGCAGCTCACTAGGCTAATCCTCCACCTAGCGGCACCGGCACACCAGGTTCTAGTCCTGGTCGGGGCGCCGGATTCTGTTCCGGTTGCCCCTCTTCCAGGCCAGCTCTCTGCTGTGGCCAGGGAGTGCAGTAGAGGATGGCCCAGGTGCTTGGGCCCTGCACCCCATGGGAGACCAGGAAAAGCACCTGGCTCCTGGGTTCAGATCAGCGTGGTGCACCAGCCACAGCGGCCATTGTGGGAGTGAACCAATGGAAAAAGGAAGACCTTTCTCTCTGTCTCTCTCTCTCACTGTCCACTCTGCCAAGAAAGAAAAGAAAAGAAAAGAAAAGAAAAGAGAAGAGAGGAGAAGAGAAGAGAAGAGAAGAGAAGAGAAGAGAAAAGAAAAGAAGGAAGGAAAGAAAGAAAGGAAAGAAAGAAAGGAAGAAAGAAAGGAAGAAAGGAAGAAAGAAAGAAGGAAGGAAGGAAGGAAGGAAAGAAAGAAAGAAAGAAAGAAGGAAAGAAGGAAGGAAAGAAGGAAGGAAAGAAAGAAGGAAAGAAGGAAAGAAAGAAGGAAAGAAAGAAGGAAAGAAGGAAAGAAAGAAGGAAAGAAGGAAAGAAAGAAGGAAGGAAAGAAGGAAGGAAAGAAGGAAAGAAGGAAAGAAGGAAAGAAGGAAGGAAGGAAGGAAGGAAGGAAGGAAGGAAGGAAGAGAAAGAACGAAAGAAAGAAAGAAAAACAAAGACTGAAAACACTGGTCTAGCCTCAGCCAGCCTTAAGTGGGAAGTGTCAAGAAAATTCAGATGGCTCTTATATTCTTTGCTACCAATTTCCTAGTCAGAGCTAACTACAAATTTCTGCTTTGTGTTTTTTAATTTTCATCTTATTTTGAAAGGCAGAGACAGACATGAAGAGAGATCATCCACCCACTGGTTCCCTCCTCAGATTTCTGCAACATCGACGGCTGGGCTGGGCTTAGGCCAGGAGCCCAGAGCTCAATCTGGGCCCCCATGCAGGAGGCAGGGACCCACACACGTGAGTGATTGTCTGCTGCCTCCCAGGGTGCGCGTTAACAGAAAGCTGGAATGACATGCGGAGTTGAAGATCAAAGCAGGTCCTCTACAGGGAAAGCGGGCATCCCAAGTGGCATCTTGACTGCTGGGCCAAGTGCTCACTCCCCTCTTTTTATCTTGTTTTTTAAAAAGGATTTATTGATTGAGTTGAAAGGTAGAGGTAGAGGTAGAGGTAGAGGTAGAGGTAGAGAGAGAGAGAGAGAGAGAGAGAAAGAGAAAGAGAGAAAGAGAGAAAGAGAGAGAGAGAGAGAGAGAGAGAGATTCCAACTGGTTTACTCTCCAAAAGCCCACAACAGCCAGGACTGGGGCAGGCCAAAGCCTGAAGCCAGGAACCCAGTCAGGTTTCCCACATGGGTGGCAGTAGCCCAAGTACTTGGGCCATCATCTGCTGCATTTCCAGGTACATTTGCAAGGAGCTGGGTCAGAAGAGGAGTAGCCAGTTTTTTTGTTTGTTTGTTTGTTTGTTTGTTTGACAGGCAGAGTGGACAGTGAGAGAGAGAGACAGAGAGAAAAGTCTTCCTTTTTCCATTGGTTCACCCCCACAATGGCCGCTGTGGCTGGTGCACCACGCTGATCTGAAGCCAGGAGCCAGGTGCTTCTCCTGGTCTCCCATGGGGTGCAGGGCCCAAGCACTTGGGCCATCCTCCACTGCACTCCTGGGCCACAGCAGAGAGCTGGCCTGGAAGAGGGGCAACCGGGACAGAATCCGGCGCCCCGACGGGGACTAGAACCCGGTGTGCCGGCACCGCAAGGCGGAGGATTATCCTAGTGAGCCACGGCGCCAGCATAGCTAGGTTTTTAAACCAGGTACTGTCATGTGGGATACTGGTGTTTTAAGCTATAGCTTAGCCTGCTGTCCACAGCACCTGCTCCTTCTTCCCCTCTCTGCTACCAGAACAGGTCACTCCTCTGTTCTACCCTCTGCTTCATGTTTCTCAAAACAAATCTAACATGACACTTAAGTGCATCTGGTGAGGTACACCCATATACCCCTACTTCTCTCCTATGAGCACAGAAGTCCCACTCAATTAACTGAGTCATTTTATTTAAGTTAGATAAAGGGTAATTTTATTTTACTTAAAAGTTTATAACATCTTCTTTCTCACCCTCATCTCTCATTAATATCTCATATTAACATCTCATTTAATAGAAATTAAAGCAGCATGAGGCCTGCTATTTCAAAAGTGTTTTTATAAATCCTTTTTGAAAAATAATGAGTGATTTCCTATCATAAAAAATTACCCTAGATCCAGGGAAACGCTGATTCTACTCCCATCTGACCATCGTCTGCACACCCCAACACTGCAGTCTGGCCGTCATTTCCTGGACAAGAGATTTCTAGTACCTCACCTCTACCGCCCTCCACAGAAACCATCTTCCTAACGTGCACCCAGTGACGCTACTTTCCCAGCCCAGACCTTCATGAACTGACCACCGACCCAGCCGACACAGACTGTGGTCATGTGCCAGCTGCTGCTCGGGTCTCTGAGAGTCCACCGAGGACAATGAGAGACGCCACTGCCCCACGGAGCTCAAAGCCTGGCGTGGGAGGGACATTAAATGAGCCGATCATGAAAATAAAACAAACAAGAGAGCTGTCAAAGAAAACGCGGGAGAGCGATCTCTGCAGGTTGGGTCGGTAAGGCCTCTCCCCAGCAGGTGCACTGGAGCTGCAGTCTGAGGAAGGCAGGCAGGTGGGAGGGTGCAGCGGGAGGACACGTACTCAGGCTGGGCAGTGAGCTCGTGGAGGCGGAAGGGAGCGCACAGAAAGCAGACAAGGTTCTGAGAAGTCCGAGGAAGTCAGGGAAAGCCGTGCGGCTGAAGGGTGCCGAGACAGAATCCACAGTTTCCTGATGCCCACAGTAAAGGTCACATCCTTACAAGAGCCTTCCTCCTTTCACTGACTCACTCTGTGACAACCCAGATCAGACACCTCACACGCCCACACCGTGATTCGTGGGATTTCTCTGCCTACACTGTTCTTCCTGAGCTTTCCCAGATTCCACTGGGCACAATTTCTCTCTCCCTTCTTCGTGACTCCAGAGCATTCATTTTTAACTCAGTCCCTACGTCTCTAGGACTGATTCATACTATAGCTATGTACACATCTGTCTCCTCTGCTTATGACCATACACCATGTCAGTCATTTCTGTGTCTCCTACCCGGATCTTCCAAACACAAAACACAGTGCCCAAAAAATGTCTACTGACTTAATGTCCTAGCACAAGTTTTTACAACTAAGTTAAAGCTGGATCACTTTTAACAACATTATATTAGATGACTAATATTAAAATTCAAAGTATTTGTTCTAAATCAATATACAGCTTTGTAATCATTTTTTGTTCAAAGTATTACAGTTGAGAAATTTAAAAATATTCTTTCAAGATCATTTTCAGTAGAACAAAGGATAGGGGCTGGCGTTGTGGCGCAGCGGGTAAAGCCGCCACCTGCAGTGCTGGCATCCCATATGGGCACCGGTTCGAGTCCCAGCTGCTCCACTTCTGATCCAACTCTGCTATGACCTGGGAAAGCAGTGGAAGATGGCCCAAGTCCTTGGGCCCCTACACCCAGAAGACCCAGAAGAAGCTCCTGGCTCCTGGCTTTGGATCAGCTCAGCTCTGTTGCAGCCATCTGGGGAGTGAACCAGCAGATGGAAGACCTCTCTCTCCATCTCTACCTCTCTCTGTAACTCTTTCAAATAAATAAAATAAATCTTTAAAAAAAAAAAAAAGGGATAGTTCCCTTAATAGTTACTAAGACATGCTCTATCGTTGAGTTTTCTTACCACAGTAAAAAGTAATCAGAACAGGGGAAGGCGCTATGGTACAGTGGGCTAAGCCACTGCCTTCAGTGCCAGCATCCCATACGGGTGCCAGTTCGAGTCCTGGCTGCTCCACTTCCAATCTAGCTCTCTACTGTGGCCTGGGGAAGCAGTGCAAGATGGCCCTAAGTGCCTGGGCTCCTGTACCCGAGTGGGAGACCTGTATGAAGCTCCTGGCTCCTGGCTCCTGGCTCCAGATGGGCCCAGCTCAGGACACTGCAGCCATTTCGGGAGTGAACCAGCGGAAGACTTTCTGTCTGTAACTCTACCTCTGAAATAAACAAATCAATCTTTAAAAAAAAAAAAAGTAATCAGAATATAAAGGAAAAATGGGTTTACTAACTTTTTAAACAACACAAGAGCAATTATTAGTGCTTAATAACGTCTTGTAAATGACAACTACTCTAGCACCAGTCCTGTGGACACTTCACAGAACGTGCTGACCTCTTCTTCCCCGAGTACCACTCAATGAAGAACCAGTGTAACACAAGAGGGAGCATGGCCATGAAGCCCAGGTAGAGCCAGTCGTACAGCTCCGGGGACTCCGTGCAGGGCTGACAGAGCTTCTGGGCGTCGGTCCTCTGTCCTCTTGGGCACACCTACAATGCACAGAGAGCAACCTTACATGCAGACACTCTGGACGCTAACACCCGCCCCGAACCACACTGTTAAACGTCGCACTGCATCTTAAACATTTAAGTCTATGTTAGCTTTCAGAAATAAAGACTAAAGCATACATAACACAAAAATAAATCTACAGTGTTTGTGCTATAGTTGTAAAACGTTAAAGTAGAAAGTTATAAAATGTTAAAGTAGAAAGGATTCTTTTTACTTAGTTACCAAAATAGTAAACACTCAATGAAAAACCTAGCTACAAACATCAAAAAATGATTTCCAAGAAATGTTCTGGATTATAATGTTAACTGAATGGACAAGCCAATGCACTAGATCCTTTTTAAATGTAATTAGAAATTACCATAAAATTATAAAAGGTTTTTAAAAACACTTAATACCTGACTCTCAAGGAAAGATGTATTACAGATATCAAGAGAACAATTCAAACCAGGACTTTATTAATGTCTCATATTCTCTCTTATAAATTAATGAGTATATTTTAAAGAGATTCCACAAAACAAACAGACTTCACCAATGAAGTAACACAAACAGCAGACTCACCCCACATTCTCCATATATTTCAGTTGAGCCGTTTTTAAATAACAGGGTCTTCCCGCAGTAAAGTCCAAGGCAGGCTGGTTGAATATCGACAGCTTTTTAAAAACAAACGCCAGTAGAGTGACATCTTTGTGATTAGAAAAGAATAATGCAGTAACAGCTGAGGCACTGGGCAGACACAGCTCATCACAGCTTCCTTGTAAGACGCGACATGGATTAGGCAAGAGCCTGGTGCGTGTATTCCAGTGTGTGGCACTGCAGAAGGCAACCCTGGACTTCCTGCTGAGTGCACCCTGTGAGTAAGGTCCTGGACCAGCAGAGCAAGGCATCTCCAGACCTCACGGTCTAGCCTGGGCTCCACAGAGCCACTCACCTTGACTGGACTCCACTTGGGAACTTCACTGATCATAAAATTCCAAACTAAGCTTTAGAAAATGCGGACCCGACGGAAGGCGGCTGCTTGTTTTGTGCACACAGCACCTGTTCCCACCTTTGTGTGTAGGAGCACGTGTGTTAACAGCACAAAGGTGAAAGGGTGTGATTCCAGAACCGAGGGCAGGCCTGCAGTAAACACACTCAGCTCTGAACAAAGCTCCACGCAATCTCAGGCTTGGGGAAAATAAAACAGCAGCTACAAGACCCTGCAGCTCGGCCCGGACCTCACCTGCGGGAGGAGCCAGGAGGGAGCGATGCTTAATCAGAGACCCATGCCCTTCACTTGCCGACCGTCCACTCAGTCCACACGCACAGCTAAGAGCCACTGGGGGCCAGGAGGAAACACCAGGGCCCCTGCTCTCCGGGAACGCGGTCAAGCGCGGTGTATATGTGAATTATTGTGGGACACTGTGCATTTCATGACTTCACAACCATTTCTCACATGCTTCCCCGACTCACCACCTAGAGACGCCTTTCTCCTTCCAGATTCAAGGAGACTGGAATTCAAACAGGGATAGCCCAGGTGCAAACGACTCAAGTTTAATATTCTCACTTTTACAAAATCTCTTAGTTTTCAGACCCATGGGCTTCCTCACTTTAACTGGCACTTGCTTAACCCATTATAATCACCTTGTTCTAGGCTCAGGCATGAGCACGAACTGTTTCACGCTTCTGGTGAGAGCAGAAGTTAAAGAATCCGCAGCTTTTCCTACGGACTTTATTTACCAGATGCTTGCCAAATATAAGGGGTCTTCGAAAAATTCCCAGAAAACGTGCATTGTGCAAAAAACAGGTTTCAAAAATTTTTGCACCACAAGAAACGTGTCTTCTAACCCCAGTTTCCGCGAACTTCCTGATCTATCTTCCTACACTGGAATATAAATAATCCAAGGTCTCTCAAAGCCCAGGGTCTGAAAACCAGTGCAACAAACAAAGCAAGAGCCCATCACGTTCCAAAGGAAACTCCGGCTCCCAGCGCTCGCTGAGGCGGAGGACGGCGACGACTTTACGGCGCGACCGCCGAGCCTCCCCGGGAGGGACCTCCTACACCCGCACCTGCGGCCGCGGCCGAACCCGGTCAACTCTGCAGCCAGCGGCGGCGGCGGCCCCTCCGGTCCGTGCGCACTACCGCTGTCCTCGGAGGAAACACAGCGGCCGAGGGCACACTTCCGACCGGACAGCCAGAGGCCCGGCCTCCCGTGGGCGGCCAACGCGCCAGGAGCAGCGACCACCCCGACCCCGGCAAGAGTCCGGGCCGGAAGGGCGGCAAGGGGCGAGCAGGCGCCGCGCCCAGCCCAGCCCGGACCTGCCGCGCAGCCAAGAAGCCGCGGCGAAGACAGGCGCTCCCCCGACCCTCGGCGCCCCCTCACCCATGAGCCGCTCCTAGGCTTCTGGCAGTCGCTCCAGGGTCAGCGGATGCGGCTGGAACGCCCCGACATCCGGGCCACAGCAGCCTCGCTGGCTCCGCCTCCTGGTAACCTAGGCGACCGCGCCGCAGCCCCACCCACTTCCTGGTCTCGGCCACGCCCCCTGAGGCTGCCGTGCGTCCTGCCCCTTTGGGGGCGTCGCGAGCTTAAAAGCCAGCGCTGCGGGGCCCGCGTCAGCATCCACTGCTGTGCAGCCAGCCTGTCTGTGCTTCGCTTAGCTCACGGGGTTTGGGGTGCGGATTGAGAGATGAGCTAGTTAGGATTTTTATATGTGAGATATATAGCCGGCATGGAAACACTGTGGGGTGCTAGATGACTGGAGTTCTGTAGGCGCGTGGCGCCGTGAGAAGACTGTGCGGTTCCCTGGTACAGGTGCCCGTGTGCCATGGAAACCTTGTGTAGGATGGGCATCCGTACCAAGGGGCGATCCCTGTCGGGCCGGCCTCTGGTCTGGGTGTCTGAGACTCCCTGTACTGTCCCCAGGAAGGCTGCGCCCCAGAGCGAGCTGGGAGCTGACTGAGCAGGGCAGGTGCAGTTATCCCTCCTTCCCCTTAAAGGCCCTGAACGTCATCTGCGGAAAAGCTTGGTCCTGAATCTCCCGGAGGATTTGGATTCCAGCACAGCTTCGTGTGAAGGTCGCAGACGTAGCCCAGGCGGTTCTCAGCCTTAGAGCGAGGAGCGGCAGCTGCAGGCTGCCCTGGGCACGCCGATGCCGCGTCCCTCTTTAGGAGAGACCGGTGACACGTCCCTGAGGGCGACAGTGCTGATGTCGGATTCCTCTAAGTGTAAGTGATTCAGTGTGTCTGACGTGCTTAGCTTGGAAACTGACACCCAGTGCAGTACATAAAAATGTCCATTATGTTATCTTCAGTCTCGGGTTTCAGAGGACTGTGTGCCCCAAGTGTTGTATACAAAATACAGTGGTTTGCTATATCGTGAGATCATCGGATAGAGGGATCCCTAACTCAAAATTCGATATTCAGAAAAACTAAACCCTAAAGACAGCTGTATTAGGATGATTGTTGGCCTTGTTAAAGGACTCGTTATGGGTAGATTACTAAATGTAAATTAACTAATTCCACGGTAGCTTTTATTTACTGAGTAGATGCATCAGTCAGCTCTGTTAGCACATTTACAATGTGGTTCCATCACAAGAATTCTACATACTTAACTTTTCAGGGCTTTCATATCCCATTATATAAAATGAGATGTTCATATAGGATGAAACAAAATTTAAAAACAAAAACCCCCAACCCTAATTTAGTGGTTCTCAAACCTTGTGGTCTCAGGACCACTTTATGCCTTAAGATTTGAGGACTCCTGTGGCCAGCGCCATGGCATGGTGGGTAAGGCTGCAGCCTGCCATGCCAATGTCCCATATGGGTGCCAGTTCTAGTCCTGGCTGCTGGGACTAGGCTGCCTGGGAAAGCAGTAGAAGATGGCCCAAGTCCTTGCGCCCCTGCACCCACATAGGAAGACCTGGAGGAAGCTCCTGGCTCCTGGCTTCGGATCGGCGCAGCTCTGGCCGTTGCGGCCATCTGGGGAGTGAACCAGCAGATGCACCTCTCTCTCTGCCTCTCCTTTTCTCTCTGTGTAACTGACTTTTAAATTAAAAAAAAAAAAAAAAAACCATAGGGGTAGGCAACTGGCCCAGCAGTTAAGACGTTCTGTCTCACATCAGAGAGCCTAGTTTGATCTGGCTCCTGGTTCCTTCTTCCTGCTAATGCAGACCCAGGGAGGCAGTGGTAATGGCTCAAGTAATTAGGTTCCTGCCGTGCACATGGACAACCTGGACTGCATTCCTGGCTGCTGGCTTTAGTCCCAGCCCAGCTCACTGACATCCGGGGGTTGAACCAGTGCATAGGAGCGCTCTCTATCTACCTCTGTCTTTCTGCCTTCAAATTAAAAAAGAAAGTCAAAAACCAAGAGAAGATACTTTGCATATTTACTATATGAAGAATTAAAGATTCTTATTCATGACTTCATTTAAAAATTCAGAAACCCAGGGGCAGGTGTTTGGCAGAGCAGTGTAGTTGCTGCTTGGGAGGCCCGTGTCACACATCAGTTTGGGTTCAAGTTCTGGGTTCAAATCCAGCTTCCTACAAATATGCACCCTATCAGGCAGCAGGAGGTGACTCAGGTAGTTGGGCCCTACCCCCCATTTGTGAGCCCAGATTGAGCTCCAGGCTCCTGGCTTCCACCTGGCCCGGACCCAGTTTTTGTGGGTACTGGGGAGTTTACCAATTGATAGAAAATCTTTCCCTCTACCTTTCAAATCAATTACATAAACAAATAAAATTAAACAACAAACCCATTACACATTCACATATAAATGAAATTTTGTGAAAATAACTCTAAGAGGAGATTTCAAAAAGTTCATGGAAAATGGAATTAAAAGATAATCTTATTTTGGTGCAATTTTTTTTCTAAAATCCTCAGATAGTTTTTTTTTCCACAAAATGCATTTTCCATGAGCTTTTTGAAAATCGTTATTTGCCAAAAGAAACAAAAACATTAACAAGAAAAGTGGCATTGTTTTACTTTTTAAAAGTGTATATATATACTGTCGCTCCCCGTCTTTATGGAGGAACGACACAGGACCCTGCGCTGTTCTTTTGTCTGCTCGGCCCTCCCCGGGTTTGCTGCTGGTTCTTCCCGGGTGGGCTACCATCCCTTCCACCTCCGTGGAAGGGCGGTTCCCCCTGCCACATTCCCCACTTCCGCAGGGGAGCGGCACACCGCCGGCCGGCTCTCTCGGGGGCTGCTCAGATGTTCCTCAGGTGTTCCCCTTAGATGTTCCTGGTGCATGTTGTCTCTCTCCTCCTTTATAGTCCTTTTCCACCAATCCCAACTCTGCTACCCACACGCCGAGTATGCTGCTCTCCTCCAATCAGGAGCAGGTCCTGCAGTTTATTGGTTGAACTGGAGGCAGCTGTATAGAAGCTGTTTCTCCCTTCTCAGCGCCATATTGTGGGAGAGCAGATGCATAGAATAAGTCTTAATTCCAGTAACTCAGTCCAGTCCGGGTTGCTCCCCACACATACATATATATTTATATTATTTATTTGAAAGGCAGAGTTACAGAGAGAGAGAGAGAGAGAGAAAGAGAGATCTTCTATCTGGTGGTTCACTCCCCAAATGGCCACATTGGCTGGAGCCAGGCTAGACTGAAGCCAGGAGCCAGGAGCTTCTTCTGGGTCTCCCACATAGGTGCAGGGGCCCAAGGACTTGGACCATCTTCCGCTGCTTTTCCAGGCCATAACAGAGAGCTGGATTGGATTGGAGCAGCTGGGACTTGAACTGGTGCCCACATGGGCTCAGTGCTGCAGGTGGCAGTTTAACCTGCTGCACCACAGCAGCAGCCCATTTTACACTTTGGCAAACCTCCCTCACGTCTGGTTTAACACAAGACACAAGATTCTCACATGCGCTGCTGTAGTCACTTGATCACCCATCAGGTAGCCTCTAGAGAACTTCCCTGTGCACTCAAGAGAATGCAAGTGAAAAACAAATGCTTTCTTTCCTTTCTTTTTCTTTTCTTTTTTTTCTTTAGATTTATTTATTTGAAAGTCAGAATTAGAGAGTGAGAAGGAGAAGCAAAGAGAGAGAAAGAGAGATCTTTGATTTGCTGGTTCACACCCCAAACGGCCGCAATGGCCAGGGCTGGGCCAGGTGGAAGCCAGGAGCCAGGAGCTTCATCTGAGTCTCCCTTGTGGGTGCAGGGGCCCAAGGACTTGAGCCATCTTCCCTTGCTTTCCTAAGCCATAACAGGGACCTGGGTCAGAGGTGGAACAACCAGGACTCAAACCAGTACCCATGTGAGATGCCACTGTTGTGGCTGGCATCTTTACCTGCTACGACATAACTCCCACCAATGTCTTAGTTTTCTTATGAACATAGTTTCGACTTTGGGAATGCATTGAAATGATTTTGGTGCCAGCGCTGCGGCTCACTAGGCTAATCCTCTGCCTCCCGGTCGGGGCGCCGGATTCTGTCCTGGTTGCCCCTCTTCCAGGCCAGCTCTCTGCTGTGGCCAGGGAGTGCAGTGGAGGATGGCCCAAGTGCTTGGGACCTGCACCCCATGGGGGACCAAGAGAAGCACCTGGCTCCTGCCATCGGATCAGCACAGCGCGCTGGCCGCGGCAGCCGTTGGAGGGTGAACCAATGGCAAAGGAAGACCTTTCTCTCTGTCTCTCTCTCTCTCACTGTCCACTCTGCCTGTCCAAAAAAAAAAAAAAAAAAAAGAAAGAAAGAAAGAAATGATTTTGGTGACCCCCATGGGATCCAAAGAGCACACTTTGAGCTTCAGCATCCTAGTTGAACAGAACTTTTTATAAGCCTCTTTTAAAATTCCCCTCTGAGAGCTGAGAGAGAAAACTTACCCAGCAGGCAGCTCAGCCCGTTCAGCCTCCTAAGCAGCACATTTGCAACCCAGAACTGAAGGCGTCACTCACCCGCACGGCACTCCCTGTGAACACGGAGCCGGTCGCACTGCTTCTGAAGGCTCTGGTTTGGTTCAGTCCCAGAAGTCCTTTATGATACTGCAGAGCAACCCGGGCTGTCACTCCCGAGCCAGTAGGGCTCCTGTCAACCTGAGCCAAAGGAAACAAGCAAGTTCCAGGTCCCCGTGACTTACCTCTCGTGCCTAAAATCACAGTTTTAATACCTGTTCATCTGCAAACACACAGAGGTTGGTGGTTGGGTCCTCGGTGTAAGCATCTTTTCCATCTGTTAATATAGTTCCATACAGGAAGGCAAGGTCCTCACTGTCAGGGTGGTGAATTTTAAACTGAAAGCAATAAAAAGAAACTATCAGCCACACATGAAAATGATTTTTTTAAATTGAGAGACAGGGAGAAAGCGAGAGCTCACCCTCCCTAAATGCCTGCTGCAGTGGCTAGGAGAGGGATGGACCCAGGAGCCGGGAGCTTAATCCAGGTCTTCTGTGTGTGGCGGGAACAGTGACTTGAGCCATCACTTGCTGCTTCACAGGGTCTGCATTAGCAGGTGGAGTCAGGGTACGAACCTCGGCGCTCTGATACGGGGTGCAGGTGTCTTAATTGGCATCTTAACCGCTAGGCCAAGCACCCAATCCCAAACCAATACTTTGACTCAGATGCTTTGAGCCCCTCCATGGAGCCATCCTACTCACAGGCTTTACTAGGGAACCGTGCTATTTTATACACATCTCCAAAGCACACGCTCTTAGGAGCACTGGCCCGGATGCCCAGGCCACAGGCTGCGGAGCGGAGGCCACAGTACTCTATCCTGAGGAGCATGAAGGGGAGAACGTGGAGAATCAGGTGGGAGTGGCCAGAGCTGAAGGTAATACCAGTGATGGAGGAGACAGGTCGGTGAGAGGCTGTGAGCCGGAAGCTTGCAAGAAAGCAGCAGCAGTCTGCACCCGCAATCGACTAAGTGGTTCCACTGCCTGATCCATCCGTGATGTCTTTTCTATCAAAGTCCACCGCCTTGGCCTTACCAGCTGTATGAGAAGTTCAAGCTTTAATGAGAAGCTCGAAAGTGCTCTTATAATTAACAAAGCTATGTCTTTTCGCTCGATTGCACTAAAAATCAGGTGAAATTATTTTGTGCCAAATGGTTAAATTATTCGCTATCACCTTGGTGGAGCAGAAAACTGATGTATATTTGGAAGATATTATGATAAAATACTTCCACATGTTGGTACTGACACCCCCAGGAAAGGTGTGATTTAGAAAAGTAATTGTACTATATATTTTCATTTTGTTATTTAAGTTATACATTGTGTTAGGTTAAACCCTCAAAAATGTTAAATTGTCCCTTAATAATTATTAGTGCAGTAATTAGCACACTACAGTAATTGTTACCACTAATTTTCATGTTTTTTTTTTTTTTTCGCTACTAACAGTTAAACCTTTACATGCCGCCGGCGGCGCCGCTCACTAGGCTAATCCTCCGCCTTGTGGTGCTGGCACACCGGGTTCTAGTCTCGGTCGGGGCACCGGATTCTGTCCCGGTTGCCCCTCTTCCAGGCCAGCCCTCTGCTGTGGCCCGGGAGTGCAGTGGAGGATGGCCCAAGTGCTTGGGCCCTGCACCCCATGGGAGACCAGGAGAAGCACCTGGCTCCTGCCATCGGATCAGCGCGGCACTGGCCGCAGCAGCCATTGGAGGGTGAGCCAACGGCAAAGGAAGACCTTTCTCTGTCTCTCTCTCTCACTGTCCACTCTGCCTGTCAAAAAAAAAAAATCTTTATATGCCAAGGCACTCAAATATTGTGTGTGTTTTCTTTACAGGTTCTGATTCCAAACATCTTTTAATTCCAGTTTCCCTTTTGAAATACCATCCTGAGTGAACATTGCTCTCACTGTCCATCCTGAGTGAACATTGCTCTCACTGTCTCATCAGATAATCTTTTTTTGTTGTTTGTTTGTTTTTAAGATTTATTTAGTTGAAAGTCAGTTACACAAAGAGAGGAGAGACAGAGAGAGATCTTCCATCTGATGGTTCACTCCCCAGTTGGCTGCAATATCTGGAGCTGCGCCGATCTGAAGCCAGGAGTCAGGAGCTTCTTCCAGGTCTCCCATGCGGGTGCAGGGGCCCAAGGACTTGGGCCATTTTCTACTGCTTTCCCAGGCCATAGCAGAGAGCTGGATCAGAAGTGGAGCAGCTGGGTCTCAAACCGGTGCCCATATGGTATGCTGGTACCTGTCGCTCCCCATCTTCGTGGAGGAACGACACAGGACCCTGCGCTGTTCTTTTGTCTGCTCGGCCCTCCCCGGGTTTGCTGCTGGTTCTTCCCGGGTTGGCTACCGACCCTTCCACCTCCGTGGAAGGGTGGTTCCCCCTGCCACTTTCCCCACTTCCGCGGGGGAGCGGCACACCACCAGCCGGCTCTCTCGGGGGCTGCACAGGTGCTCCTTCAGATAGATGTTCCTCTTAGATGTTCCTGGTGCATGTTGTCTCTCTCCTCCTTTATAGTCCTCTTCCACCAATCCCAACTCTGCTACCCACACGCCGAGTACACTGCTCTCCTCCAATCAGGAGCAAGATCAGCTCCTGCAGCTCAGTCAATCAAATTGGCGAGAGGCAGCTGCGTAGAAGTTGTTACTCCCTTCTCAGCGCCATATTGTGGGAGAGCAGATGCATAGAATAAGTCTTAATTCCAGTAACTTAGTCTAGTCCGAGTTGCTCCCCACAGGTACCCGCTACACCACAGCGCTGGCCCCAAATAATCTTCTTTATGTACACATCTGTCTCTGGGCCAAATATCCCCTTTCTAGAATAACACCAACCGTACTGGAATAGAGTCCACCCTAATGAGCACACATGACCTTTACTGCGTGAAGCTCACATTTTGAAATAATGTCAAACCCTAATATCCCGAGGTTAGGACTTTAACAGGTGAACTTGGGGAGCGGTGTGGGTGGAGCAGGATACAACCCAACACATGCCACTCAGTGAACCCAAGCAAAAGACGGCTTGTTCTCTTGATCTCAGCACCAGTGCCTTGCTTGTGCTGGTCACACAGAAGCTAGGACAGTTGGACATCTATCTGATGGGGAAATAAAGATAGGATCTAAAACTGAACATAGCGACCTGAAACTTTTCAAGAATGACAGGAACAGGAGATGTGCAGGGTCTCCTCCTGAACTGTGTGGGAGCCCTGATGCTGCTTGTCTGGGGCTTGGAAGGCTGAAGTCTTGAAGTCTTGCCTGCAGGTGCACAGTCCTGTAACCATCAGGGACTCTCAGATACAGACTCTACTGACCTTCTGTTGGCAAAAACTCCTTGGCTATACATGTTAGACCAACCATCCCAAGTTAGCTTTCAAAATATTCCCTACTGAGCATATTTCATTTTCTCCCCCCCCCTTTTTTTTTTTGACAGGCAGAGTGGACAGTGAGAGAGAGAGAGAGAGAGAGAGAGAGAGAAAAAGGTCTTCCTTTGCCGTTGGTTCACCCTCCAATGGCCGCCGTGGCCGGCGCGCTGCGGCCGGCGCACCGCACTGATCTGATGGCAGGAGCCAGGTACTTCTCCTGGTCTCCCATGGGGTGCAGGGCCCAGGCACCTGGGCCATCCTCCACTGCACTCCCTGGCCACAGCAGAGAGCTGGCCTGGAAGAGGGGCAACCGGGACAGAATCTGGTGCCCCAACCGGGACTAGAACCCAGTGTGCCGGCGCCGCAAGGCAGAGGATTAGCCTAGTGAGCCGCGGCGCCGGCTTTCATTTTCTTTTTCCCTTTAAATGTTTAATCTTGGCACAGGCTCTGTAACCCTAAAGTGATCAGCCTGTGTGCAGCAAAACCTTGTGTGCAAGCGAAAGACAGGGTGAGTGTTCAGTGGAGAGAATGAATTCTATTTACTCTTGAGTTTTGTAACTTTGTTTGTTGGGAATTATCTGGGAAGATGTATTTATTCCCCTTTATGGGTATGCAGCGTGCAGGATTTCTGGAAGAGCCTTGTTTCACAGCAGGCACTGGACCTGAAGATTAGGGAGCACTTTAGTCCCGTATGACATGAGAACTTTGTAATGAGGTATTTTTCATGAAAGCCACACTTCACCACAGTATGTCACAACATGTTATCTTTTTTTTTTTTTTTTTTAGCAGGCAGAGTGGACAGTGAGAGAGAGAGACAGAGAGAAAGGTCTTCCTTTGCCGTTGGTTCACCCTCCAATGGCCGCCGCGGCCGGCGCGCTGCAGCCGGCGCACCGCGCTGATCAGATGGCAGGAGCCAGGAGCCAGGTGCTTTTCCTGGTCTCCCATGGGGTGCAGGGCCCAAGCACCTGGGCCATCCTCCACTGCCCTCCCTGGCCACAGCAGAGAGCTGGCCTGGAAGAGGGGCAACCGGGACAGAATCCGGCGCCCCGACCGGGACTAGAACCTGGTGTGCCGGTGCCGCAAGGCGGAGGATTAGCCTAGTGAGCCGAGGCGCCGGCCTTTTTTTTTTTTTTTTTTGGACAGGCAAAGTGGACAGTGAGAGAGAGAGACAGAGAGAAAGGTCTTCCTTTTCCCGTTGGTTCACCCCCCAGTGGCCGCTGCGGCCGGTGCACCGCGCTGATCTGATGGCAGGAGCCAGGTGCTTCTCCTGGTCTCCCATGAGGGTGCAGGGCCCAAGCACCTGGGCCATCCTCCACTGCATTCCCGGGCCACAGCAGAGAGCTGGCCTGGAAGAGGGGCAACCGGGACAGAACTGGCACCCCGACCGGGACTAGAACCTGGTGTGCCAGCACTGCAGGCGGAGGATTAGCCTAGTGAGCCGCGGCGCTGACCTCAGCATGTTATCTTGGTGAGAGAATTTTCTCTTTGCCAAACTGTGATTGTAACCTTTTCTCTCACGTTGACTGTGCCCTCTCCCTTGTCTCAAGCTCCTAAAATAATATGTTGGATTGTTAACCAGACCAGCCGGCTGCCCAGTTAAGGGGGTAGGAGAGACATTGGAATGCTTCATTCTGGCTTTGTTTTCCTGTAAGTGGCACGTTTATCTTCTCTGGGATTTATGTTATCATTTTAGAAAATTACACTCATTTACACCTAAACATAGTTAAAGCAAGCAAAATGTATCCCTGTCACTTTTCACACATGTGTAACTGTGGTTCCAAATAACAAGATCACCCCTCTCCTGACACGCACGGAAGTTAGCTCTGCTGGAAGCCTCACCTTGTCAGGTGAATTTGCAAGTTGAGTTTTCACAGTGCGTATCCCTGCTTAATGTGCAGGTAGTTGTCCCCTGCTCAGGGCAGACCAGCATTAGTGGTATTAGGGGACCATGGCACTGCCTCACAAAAATCCACTGTCAAATTTCAGGCATTCTGGGAACCAGTTACTAAATACAGACAGTATTAATAACTAAGGTATATTCCAGGGGGCCGGTATTGTGGTGCAGTGGGTTAGGCTGTCTCCTGTGACGTAGGCATCTCATACAAACTCTGGTTTAGTTCTGACTGCTCCACTTATGGTCCATCTGCTGATGCACCTGGGAAAGAAGTGGAGGATGGCCCATGTGCTTGGGCCCCTGCCAGGTACTTGGGAGACCTGGACACAGTTCCAGGCTCGTGGCTTCAGTCTGCCCCAGTCCCGGCTGCCACAGCCATTTGGGGAGTGAATCAGTGGATGGAAAATCCCTCTCTCTGTCTCTTTCTCTCTCTCTGTAACTCTGCCTTTCAAATAAATAAATTGACTTAAAAATTAAAGCAAATTCCATATATTGAAAATAAAGGTGGGCCAGCGCCGCGGCTCATTAGGCTAATCTTCCGCCTAGCGGCGCCGGCACACCCGGTTCTAGTCCCGGTCGGGGCGCCGGATTCTGTCCCAGTTGCCCCTCTTCCAGGCCAGCTCTCTGCTTGGCCAGGGAGTGCAGTGGAGGATGGCCCAGGTGCTTGGGCCCTGCACCCCATGGGAGACCAGGAAAAGCACCTGGCTCCTGCCATCGGATTAGCGCGGTGTGCCGGCCGCAGCGCGCCGGC